AATTCGTACGCTGTGCAAATAACATGGAAGCAGTTGTTCGTCAAGCTGACCTGAAGGTATTTTTGTGCTTTGGAAAGACATTCGCTTCTGCTTCGGTTATTAATTGAGTTAGATTTTTTGCCAGTCCACCCAGATGTGGCTTTTTTTTGGATTTCTTTGTTAATTTTGTTTGCTTTTCCTGTTTTTACACTTTGTCGTTCAGCGAAAGAGTGTGGCATTGGAGGACTCGAGAGACGACGAAACAATGGACGAATTGTTAGGAAAATATGAAGATGTTGCAGTGCGATGTATTAAGGTTTGATTAAAAAATGATGGTTTTCTTTAACAGAATCTAAATTTGAAAGGGGGTAATACTGTTCATTCCGAGATCTTAGACCATCTAGCAGTTAAAGTACACTATTATGCTGTACGAGTAAATGTAGAAGGGTGTAGGTATGCGTCGATTCAGCCCTATGATCTTCAGCCCGAGACCTAACCACGCTGTAGTATTAATGCGCTATGTTATATCGGTGTTGAATGGCTCCTTCTGTACGCTGATTGTTTGTACTGGGATTGGTCTTGATCATGACTTTGATCCTATTCATTGGAGATGTGCTGCAACTTGCTGACACCTAGCATCTGCCGTTTAAAGGCTGTTTGGGTTTCCGTTGATTTTTCTTCCTGAGCAACCGGTTTTGGTTCAATTACATTTTTTAATTTGGGAATCATTTTTTGGCGGATTTTATTCCTCTTCTGTTGCAGCTAGAACACGAACTGAGTGATTCGAATCGTCGAATGACACTGATGGAAAGTCTGGTGAAAAAGGCGAATGAGGAGCGTGATGTTGCGAAAGATTCGTTGAAGAAAATTCAACTTATGCCAGAACTCGAAGAAGTACGTGGACGACGTGCGCGTTCAATCAGTCCAGGTCAGGAAGTTTTCTTATGAAGGGTAACAGTATAAAATTGAACGATGCGTTAAATTCAGTGGTTTAAAGGTCATGTAACGAGAGAGATGTTCTTGTTTTTATAAAGTTCTCTCCTTCTGGACACCTTTTTATGCGTTTTGTGCTGTGTAACAGCGTTACAAAACGCATATTGTCACGGGGTTGTCTGTGTGTGTGTTTGTGTGTGTCCTACATTTTGTCCTGCACTTTCAACTCGGGAACCACAAAAGCTAGGCGGCTGAAATTTTGGTGTAGTATTTTCCGCCAACGGGTAACGCGGCAAATTTAAATTCAGCCTTCCTGTACCCGCGGGTAACTCGTACGGCCCCGTGAAAGTTTTTGCGGGTAAATCAATATCACAGGAACCACGGAGTCCAGGAGGCTGAAATTTTAGGGTAATGACCCCCTGCCCACGCTCAACCTTGCCCATTCAAATTCAGCCTTTCCGTACTCGCGGGTAACTCGTACAGCCCCGTGAAAGTTTTTCACGGGTAAATCAATATCTCAGGAACCACGAGGTCTAGGAAGCTGAAATATTAGGGTAATAACTCCCTGCCCAGGCTCAACCTTGTCTATTCAAATTCACAGTCCCGTCGTTGTTGAGTATCACCTACGGCCTCGTGAAAATTTTGGCGGGTAAACTATTAACTCGGGAATCACGAAAA